ATACTGATTTTTCTTGTATTTCTATTTTACAAAGGTCCCATAGGGTTTGCATTGTTATTTGATCATTGCTTTCCATGTGGTTATATTTTTTTAATACTTTGATTATTAAGGTTTGATAGCCTATGTATTCAAGTAAGCTATTGCTCAGTTTTCAATAACCTGGCCCTCGAGCTACAGTTTTTATATCGATGATGAGTGATACTGCTTGGTGATCTGTATATTTTATATAAACTGGTCTGATATCAGAAGATATTATTTTCTGTACAATTTCTTTTTGTATTAAGAAGAAATCTATTCTGCTTGCTTCATTGCTAACATTTTTTCGTTTCCATGTGAATTGTTGTTTATTTGGATTTTTTAGTTTCCATGAATCTAGTAGTTTATACTCTTTTATCAATATTTTTAGGTTACTTACAGTTTGTTTTGGTATTTTCCTACATTTTCTATCATCTGCTTGTAGTATTTCGTTCCAATCACCTCCGATGATAATTAACCCTTGACTATGTTCTGATATGAAAGTATTTACATGCTTATAAAAAGTATTTCTTGTGTGTCTTTCATTAGGTGCATACTCATTTATAATAGTATATATATCATCATTTATCTTTATGTTGATGAGTAATAGTCTACCATCTTTATCTTTATATATTTATCTATGATTTCTGAATTTATATTTTTGTTAATGAAAATAATTACACATCTACTCTGTGTTGTACCGAAACAATGTATTACCTCCACTTGCCTCTCTGCGTTTATATACGGCATAATCATTTTTGTGAAGTGTGTTTCTTGTGCCAATATAATATTTCCTCCTTCTTGTTTGACCCACATGTAAAATCTATCTCACCTAAACCTTGTGTATTTATTGTGAGAAAATGTACTTAACATGCTATTGCTAATATTTTTTATATAAATAAAATGTTGATGTATATAATGTTTTGAGGTAGTACTTGCAACAACATGACTGCCTTAGCATAGATAATATGTACATAACCATAAAATTTGTGCATTTATACATATATTATCTCTTTTATTTCAGATACCTTATATATATATGCCCATTTTCTGTATATTTGTGAAAGCATATGTAATCTTGTACTTGTCGTTCAGTATAAGAATACCAAGCGGTGTCCTCCGGTTTTTACCGTCTCGAGCTCTCAATTAAAACGTCTCACAGGTAGTATTTCGATACGGTGAGGGGCGAAACTACACTGTCGATCAAACTGTCACGTTGTATTAAATGATCAGGAAAACTCAATGTTAGCAACATCAATGCAGACGTGGCTGTACGGTTTGACAGTAAAACGTGGTTGAGACTGTGGATATTGGTCTAGTCTAAACATGAATTTGTCATAACTTTCTTAAGGTCAGTACGTGTTGTATATACTTTCAAATGTCAGGCGTTGCTATGCCTTTTCAAAGAAAAACCTTCTGGTGATATTGAATATAGACCAATTATGTATGAACTTACGAATGATTTCTTTAGGTTGGAAAAGTGTTTTATATCTCATTTGTAAACCGTCATTTAATTTGATCCAAAGAACTGTTATAAAACACCAAGGCCTTTCAACTTGAAATATACTAATGCACGCAAATATGGTAATGGTATTTCAAATGTAAAGAAAAACTACATGTTAAATACCCCCACTTTCTTAATACCTTGTAGTGGTATCTTATCAAACAGGTATGAATGCACTCTAACCATATCGGTTTCTATATTTTAATGTACCCCTTTACATGCTGTGTCTGAACGTTCGTCATGGTGGGAAGGTACTGGGTTCTGTCCCCAGGCCAGGACATACCGAAGTCGTTAAAAATGGTAGTTGTTATTCCCTGCTTAACGTTCAGCATTTATGGTAATGACAACAACTTGTTCACCCGTGGTCAGTATAATGTGCCCGGGCGAAATGCTGTGCTGGGTGTCTTAAGTATGGTATTTCAGTGAGGCAGCACTATAAAATCGGCATCAGATCCGTGTTATCGCAAGGAGGCAATTACACCAACATACGCTGTCTCCAGCACACATAATTATATATGCATGCATATACATGTGTTACACACACGTAGGCACGTCTTTAAATGACCTAAATTGTAACTTAGATGTTTAACCATATCAATCAATAAACTCTACTGCTTGTATAACCATCTGAATTAGACATCGATCTCTCAGCTCAAAGCAAATGTAATTCTACCCATTCTGCAACTTAGCTATTTTGTTTGATCCGTGTCTGTTATTCCATTTGCATTTTTTTTCATTGTTTTGTAATTACTTCCAAAGTGTGTTTAAATCATTTTTGAAATTTAATATCTATAACAAACAATGTTTGACTATACGCTCTGACTTCTGTAATTAAACCTTTTAACAACGTGGTTAATTATGGCCCGTGGTCTTGCAATGACATGATTTGTGCATATCTGTAATTGGACTTTTTAGAGCTTTGCAGGTCGATCCGTTTGCATGGGGTTTTAGATCGATCTTAGCTTATCTCATTAATCGTGAGGTAAGGCCTTGGAAGACAAACGAAATCGTCAAGCACAAGAAGAGTCAGAGAGAAAAATCAATATCCTGAATACATTTAAAAGGCAACGAGGGGCGCAAGGGGACCAGGTAGGGATAGAGGGTGGGGAAGGAACACGAATATTGAGAGGAACCGACATGAAGGAAATTGGGCAAGGGGACAAAGAGGAACAAGAGCATGGGGTCGGAGGGCAAGAGCATATATAGGATTACGAAATGCGGTTGTGTGAAGCAAACATAAGTGAATAAAAACACTTTATTAAACATGAAACGTATTGTTTGCATAGAAAAGTAGTATCATTCTTACAAGCTACAATAGAATTATACCCTGCGTATGTTTGTAGGGTTGTCAGCTCTGCTACAATCCCATCAGTGTGCGTCAATCATATTGTTTGGGGATAGGTGTAAAACGAATACAATTTATGGTTTACAATCACAATCAATTTCTTAAAACGCTTATTTATTTATTTCAATTAATAATCTATATTGAGTTGAAAGAGTGTCTATTATTTCAATATAAAAAATGCATGTATGTTTTCCTTACCACAACACATTGAGTGTGTTTAATGTATATGCTCTGAGTTTCTGTTAAAATATTTGTTTCTGCATTGGTCTTTGCTGAATAAGAATGTTGATATTTAAACAGTGTTCGGTCGTAACGGTACACTTTTTGTCCCTGTGCACTACAAGGTTCCCCGCTGATAGGCTTCAGACCGATTTGGAGGTTTTGTTAAATATAATTCCTCCAGTTGTTTTTTTGCAGTTGATACAAGTAAATTATAAGAAATTAAATAGCGTTACGACATTCCTTTGTACTTTAGATCATTGAGATATATATTAATTGCAGTTCGAAATATGGGCTTCAGGTTATACACTAAAATATAATATTTATCAATTATAGACTTTTGTTGAGGTTAATATGTGGTTATAGGGACCTGAGAAATTGAAATAAACCGGGACCGAAATAAAAGTCTTGAATTACTATATGACATGCTAAATAATGTTTTAATCGAAATGTTTTTAAAAACACGTATGAAAAGTGTATGGAGGAAAGTGCTGCTTTTGGCAGGGAGTGTTGTGAAGTTATAGATTAGACCTTGCTGATATGCTTATTTTTGTTTTGTGTATTATTGAATGCTGTTACATTACATGTTTTACCCATTGGCTTGGAATCTCGTAATGAACACCTTTTATGACTTTTCTGATATACACATATACTGCTGTTTTAGATATATGCGTTAGAATTCGTTCGTCAACTTCCTTTTGACTTCCTCAACCGCTTCGGATGACATGTGACTAAAAATTTGGTCTGGCACGGTCTGAGATCTTTTTATATGCAGGGAGGTTACTACATCTTATGTTATTCACACACTAAGATACACATACACTAACTAGGTGTATACACAAACTTTTGATACACAATTAACGTCTTTGATAGCTCTTTGAAGTGATGTATTTTCCAGAATTTGATACAAGTGCAGCTATATGAAATTTGAATAAAAAACTAACGAAACTAAGGAGACGAAGAGATAAAATTGTTTTTTTCTGTATTACTATTATATTTTATTTTTATATAAATTTCATAACATCATTCATGCTTATTTGAAGCAATAACCATGCTTGCAAAAGGATTTTGAACAACACTATTTGGTTGTGAAAATGTATTAGCTTAAACAATTAACATGTTTGTATTACGTCGTTTCCGAGGTACATGTTTCCGAAACAAAAGTCAATTGATTGATATTTCTACTTCCGGTATGAAGGTAAATCAGTAGTAAATCAACATCATTGCCGTGAATGATTGGTAAAGTTTGGTGGAAAGGATTTTTATTGACAAGTACCCGCTCGTCTGATATCCAATCGGTGTTTTTGGATGTTGTTTTTACTCGTGTCAGATTATTGTTGTTTACACTAAGTGTAAACAGTTGTATGCCCCCATCCCCCAACATCACACGACATGCATTCTAAAAGCCTGTCGAATCCGGATAGAAAATGTGTTTCGAAAACGACGCATCATCTCTCCAAAACTTGTATATCATAGTTACCTCTAAATGTTACCACTCTTTCAGATGGTTGGCAATTTCTTGAAAAATGACGAGCATTAATAATGATAAAAATAAGATAAATTAATTTTGATGTGTGAGTTATTCAAATTACTGAAGAGTTGCTGGATGAAATATGTTGTATGTTTGGTGTTAACTGATGTCATTCACGTTCAATATTAACATTTGTAAATAGACAGTTTGGTTTCACTGACATCGAGTAACCTTGATTTCAACAACTGCAGATGTGAAAAAGGCATCTATGTGAAAAATGTCAATCTTATTTTGGTATGCATTTACAGGTATTCGTTTGGATACAGTTGGTTATATATAAGTAATATATATTTAAATGATATCATCCAAACAAAACGAAAAGGACTGTGATAGTTAACAAATGGTTGAATCTCTTTAAATGTTTTCTGTAAATTTTAATGTTTCAGAAATGGTGGAAAGAAGACCTTAATCATGAATACCACGGCGTCACGTTCACACGTTACCGATAACACTATCACGACCAGACCGGATTTCATTGCCATATTTGACGTCCAAAGATGGTACGAGTAATTGTACTGACGAACGGACACACTCGTCATCATGCGAGCTTGCAGACGAGCTAAGTTTAAGAACAGTGTATTTGCAGTCTGTGTGATGTGTCTCTTGATTATTTCCATACACGACTTCTTACAACTGAATATTTCTCCTGTACAGTATGACGATATTCAAACGTTTCCAAAATACAAGTTCGGCTTTTTCTTTCCGTTAGAAATAGATATCCAGAAAATTGTGGAACAGAAAATCGCTAATAATACCGAGCCTGATTACGCGCCAATAAATCGACATCCTTTCAAATATATCCATCGACCTTTGGATTGTTCCTTCACCGCTTCTTCACATAGACGTTCTAACTTTGATTTCGGTCCAAAGCTGTTGATTTTAGTAAAATCTGCCGTCAAGAATGATCGCCTAAGAATGGCAATACGCATGTCATGGGGTAGAATTAAAAAGCCTAATGTGAAAGTAGTGTTTTTGGTCGCCACATCACCTGACTCTTCTGAATTCATCTCGCTGGAGTCACAAAGCTATCGGGACATCGTACAAGAGGATTTTGTAGACAATTACAGTAACAACACGTACAAAACTATTATGGGATATAACTGGGGAGTTCAATATTGCTCTAATGCTGACTTTTTCCTGTTTGTAGACGATGATCATTTTGTCGATGTATCAAAAGTTCTAGCATATGCTCAATCCATTCCGATGAACGAACGAAAGACACTGTTTCGTGGAAGGAAAGTAGTGAGTGGGACGCCAAGTAGATCGGATTCCAAATGGATAATATCTAAAGTCGACTTTCCGTTTCATCTGTTTCCCCCCTATCTAGCAGGCGGAGCCTTTCTTACTTCCTACAGTTGTGCACAGCGTTTCGCTCTTGCATTTCCATATGTTGATTTTTTCTGGATAGACGATGTGTATTTAGGTATAGTTGCTAATAAACTCAACATCACTGCAGTGGATGCGCAACCGTTTTTCACGAATGAAGAAAACCCAAGCTTAGACAAAGGTTTTTTCTCCCACTTTAATAACCACAACGCAGATCTCATGATAAAGGCATGGCAACGTTCGAAAGACAAATATCTATGACCATGTGGCTGAAAATGATACATGGGAAACTCCTGAACATTAACGCATGTGGAATAGGCGACTGATGCAACGTTAAAGTAACTGATTGTAAGATGTTTTTAATTTTCTTATTTTAAATAATGCGTCGTTTTTATACATGTTTTTGGTTTCTTTTGACCAATTCCCATTTTGCTATTTTTCATTGGCATAGCTACGTTTGCTGGTTTTATTATTTTGTAATTTATAACAAATGTTTAATATATATATATATGAATATGATATCTCAAATAAATTTCATATGAATCTGGATAGTTTTGTCGTAGCGAGCCTTTGGCAAGATGCAACGGAACTTGTTCGCAACTTAGACGAGATAATGTCTATGGCTAGATAAGTACAGAGTTATACTACGAACGAGCAAAGAAAGATCAAATGAAGGGTTTAATTAAAGTGATATATGTAAAATAAAATACTGTAAAGGGTTGGAAGGCGTTTAGCCGAGGATAATTTTATTCTAGATAAAATGAGATATATCTGCATAAAATAACGTATTTCTCGTCACAATGTTCACCTCTACCTTTAATATCCGACCCCTGACCCCACCGACCCAATCTGATCATTTCACAATCATCATTTTAAGTTCCAGTTAAAACTGTATGAACAAGTTTTTTAACCTCGATGATCGGTCGTTTTCATTTAATACACTACGCTTTGCAGTGTAATTTGGTGATTAAGTCGAGTGTTATCACTTGCTCAAGCAAAGTTGACTGCCCATGTGAACACAAATATTACAAACGAAATGCCTGTGTTTTTATTTATAAGTTAAAAGCATTATATAAACATTTTTTTTATTTTTATTTATTTACAGTTTTTAAATAGATATTAGAATTAAATTTCGATATTTATTAAATGATGTTGGGATATCTACGAATTTCATAAGATATGCCAGAGATGGGTTGTTTTCTCTCTTGATATTCCTTCCAAGATAAAAAAAAAAAAAAAAAAAAAAAAAAAAAAAAAAAAAAAACAGCAGACCAAAACATTTTGCTATAGTAATTATTATTTCAAGAACATTTTGATATGAATACAATTTTACAAAGGGTTTTTTTAACGAAAAAACGAATCATCACACCAAGATCAAGACAATTGTATCCAAGAATTTGCTGTGATTCATTGTGTCCCAGTTAGAAAATCAGGACATTATAAATGTATTTTATGTTTTGCTGAATTTCCAATGAACTGTTTGTTGTTCTTTTGTTGATGTTTCTTAAGCTATACTAAAATGACTTGTTTTATTTGATAGAAGATTATACTTTCAAAAACATGAATATATCGTTTTTAGAATGTGTCAAAATATAGTGTTTCATATCATAATATAACGTTTTGTGTCGTGTCGTGTCATAACGGAGAACACACAACTAGTGATTGTAATCGTACTTCCCTTGTTTTAACTTGTGGTATGACTACATTGCAATACAATACATTTTATTAACGTGTCACATGCCAATATTACAGGTATATACAACACATTAGAAGTCATAAAAACTATACAAAATGCATTAAAATGTATTGATATACAGACAGTTTGACTTATGAGAAACAGGTATTCAAGATCTTCTGCGATACATAAAATATAGTGGGAAAACTGAAATAGGTCATAGATCATAACTTGTCATAAGACAAAACAATTGTTCATAGGGGCCTGATTTAAAAAAGGTTGGGCAATATTTACTTGCCTCATTAAATACATCTCGCCTAAAATTAGAATAAAACTCACCATCTAATAAAACAATGGCGCTCGTCTTTGACCGATCCTGACTGACATAAAATACATTTCCTCTCATTTAACGCTAAAGGAGGCGAGAATACCGGCCGGTCTCAATTTTCAATTTCAAATTACCGCAACGGAACTTGGCTATAAATAGAAAAACAATTACATTATAAGGATTCAGACTATTTCAGATGTCATTGCCCTTGTTTTACCTATGTTTTACATGTGCTACCTAATATTTTCTAGCTCCCAAGTTTAGACATGTTTAGACATAAAAGAAATGACAAAATGAGTCACAATGAGTTTCTTATTAGTTCTCTAGTACTTTTAACTTCTTTCGAGGTTTAGTAAGTGATCACGATATTGATTAAATATTAAATTAACATCAATATCTTATATTTATTTTGTTTTATAGTGTACATTTACATTATAGTAATGGTTATAGGATGGTTATTGAAACTTACATTCTATTTTAATTTCAATAATTTATAAATGCATTTAGTTCTTAAATTTACTTTTTGATGTAATATGAAAAAAAAAGTGACAACTGTAAGCCGAGCTTATAAATCTAAACTTTTATTCGCATAGTTCGTTGACTGTAAGCTACAGGACAGGCGTTTACTGGATAATCATCAACTATATTGTGATGAGTTTTGTATTCCGTCTTTGCGTATTGCAGAGTTATCTTCTCTTGTGAGCAGGAATTGATTGTTACGTCATTTGTTTGTGAGAGTAACGTCATCAATTTTCGAGAAAACGACGTAATTTTCACACACAAACCAATGACGTAACAATCAATACCTGCTCACAAGAGAGGATAACTCTGCAATATGCAAAGACGGAATAGGTCTGGCAGGGACAAAACAATGATCAGATCTATTTGTTATTGTATCTTTAATTTCCTCGTGTCAATATCAAAATTGTAAAGCTGCGTCTGTCAAGGCGTAACTGGTTATTGATGCTACTGAAAGAAAATGTCTTGTTTCAACACAAAATACATAAATATACGAGAAAATATATTTAAATTTTATGATTTAGTAAATGTAATATTTACTTTAAAAAAACAACACATTTGCCATCTTCATAATTGAATTTCACTTAAAGCACAATGTATACGTATTTGTTTTTCATTATTATTATTCGTTTATATAGTATTCGTACTTAAGAAAAGATCAGCAAACGATAACACAACATAATAAACTCATTGAAGAAAAACAGTTTATTAATTCTTAAATAATCTTTGGAGAAGGTGGCACAAAAAGAATAACAAATTGTGGTAAATACGGTATCTCTATGGAAAAGGAATAGTATTAAGGCTGCATGTTCCATGGTTGGTTTTAAACCATTTCTATACTTATCATTGTATATACATTTAATGTATATAACCCCTACATTACATGTAAAACGAGCATTTAAACCTTCCATATAATAGAATAATTCTATACAGTATGTTCGTTTTACTGCATGCTATATATACATTAACACAATTTAAGCCCAAATTTCAAAAAAAGAAAACGTTATCGTAATAATTACTTCCGTATTTTTTGTGTTTTTATTTTTGTGTTATTTTCTTTTTAGATATATTAATCATGAACGATTTGTTCCGGATAAAATATACACAATAATAATATACATATACATGTATGTACAGTAAGTTAAAACACTCATAATATGAAATCTTTGTATATTAAGGTACATGTAGAATACGAATCTAACGACATGAATATGTGCAATAACTAATGTAAAGAATCTGAAAAAAATACATTTGTACATCAATGCAATATAACATAGCCTATGCGTTATAAATGATACATGAAATTTATAGTTGAATTAAAACATGCACATACATGTATGCATTTTACGAAATTCATTCGGATAACCACCAGATGTATCTTTTTTATATTTTACGTAATGAGTGGGAAAAAACCCATCTGAGATATAAAAAAACAAAAATCGGTTTTAATAATGTATCGTAACTAATTTTACATGTATGCAACATTAAACGGTGTAAATTAAATACATCACAATAACGACATCTAAGTGTACAAACAACATATTTATCATATCAAAATTTTAATATATAAGTTTATCACCGCGTGAGATTTCAAGGAATTACCATGACGAAATTCTGCGTTGTTCCAAACTGATTTACATGTACTTAAAATAGTTATATGTCACTGATTGAGACGGAATTACTATGACGTTTTTCTGAGTAGTTCCAAGTTTGTCTCTAAATAGATCATATGGGTATGTGTTACTATGTTGTATTCTTGGAATTACTATGACGATCTACTGAGTGGTTTCAGAATTAACGCATAGTACCAGACTCCTGATTACAACATTAAAGTTTCTTCTCTCGTTTATAATATAATTCAACACTCTACCATGTAGCATATCTTATATCCTCCTCGAAATTCCAGGGGTCACGATCACTAACCTTATCTGCATCCTGGTAATATGTCGTGACAAAATTGAATGTATAAAGTTAGCTATTTAATTGGTTTAAGGTGAAAAAACCTGACCAATCGCTAAGCCGAAACCTGGCCTTTGAAGTTTACAGAGGAGCGACACTCGGCTTCAAAATCGGTTATTTTTACCGTTATGGTACAACGTGATTCTTTTGATGTACTTCAAACTATCAAACTAGTCTACTTCTTTCACCCGCTAATTGGCTTTATAAAGCCTTCGAATTTTTCACGACATATGCCAGGGATCTGAGAACGTAACTGAGTGTAAACCCTTGGAATCGGAGGAAGATGTTTCGTGAATATTTGTTGGAACTTTGTCTTAATTGATTAATGTATCATTAATCTAAAACAAATTATGGTTGTTTTATAACACTCACATAATAATCAACTATATGTGAGGTATGCCCTTAGAACAAGAGTTATCAGAGTGTATAGCTATACGTTGTTAGTTTTACATCTGTCTCCATTATCTACTCGTTGCCATATAACGCTAATTTGCTCAGGTCTTTCCTCAACAAGCAATGTGTGATAAAAATACACTTATGTGCATATTCAGAATTTTTCATATTTCATGCAAGCATTAATCACATGTTTCATTTTCACAACTTCTCAAAAGCACCCTGATATCTGTATGAGTGTTTTAACCACTGTTAGGTTTGTTTTCCCTTTTGAGATCTAGTTCAGTTTAAAGGTATTGAAAATACTTTAGAATAACGCAATTGGTTCTATTCTGTTTTATAAACTTTTTTTAAAATGTAACTCTATCGACGATCTTTGATTGAAGTTTCAATGTGGTTTGCATAAAAATTTATGATATCATTAATAAGAATATTATTAAGATATGTTCATATCGGGAAAGGCGTCAGCCAGGGACACTTTATGAATTGATTGGTGAGTCTTAAGCATAATCTGGAATTCAAGTAAAAATCTAGTACTTATTTTTGTATGTTTCTGGTATCCTGTGCCATATAAAATATTTTCTACTTTTAATACATGTATTAATTCGATGGCACCCATAATAAATGTGCAATTGTCGTGTATATTTTGATTGAAATTATTTAGCGGATATACAATTGTTTGTGTGAGGGTGTGAGAGGGTGTAAATGGAAGGCGGCGTATATGTTTTGAACAGCTGTAATGTGTTACGATAGTCATTCTTACGACTAGTTATTTGTATTTTGTGTATGTGCTTATTGCTTTGTTGTGAAAATAAAAACAAACAAACAAAATTATGTTGTTATAGATTTGGTAGAGCGAGGAAAAACACTTAATACAGCACTAAGACATATGTCTTGGTACCGCGGTAAAACACAATACGTTATAGTACAGCACTAAAAATTAGGTCTGGGTACAGCGGTGCAAAACAATACCTTAATAGTACATCATTACGAAAAAAGGTTTTGGTTCAGCGGTGAAACACAATATCTTAATAGTACAGCGCTAAGAAATAGGTCTGGGTACCGCGGTGAAACACAATTTCATAATAGTACAGCACTAAGAAATAGGTTGGGTACAGCGGTGAAACACAATTTCATAATAGTACAGCGCTAAGACATAGGTCTTGGTACCGCGGTGAAACACAATTTCATAATAGTACAGCACTAAGAAATAGGTCTTGGTACAGCGGTGAAACACAATTTCTTAATAGTACAGCACTAAGAAATAGGTCTTGGTACAGCGGTGAAACACAATTTCATAATAGTACAGCGCTAAGAAATAGGTCTTGGTACCGCGGTGAAACACAATTTCATAATAGTACAGCACTAAGAAATAGGTCTTGGTACAGCG